TTCTAAGATCGGGGTTCTCCCCAGTATCCCCACCCCCTCAAGTTCCATTTCTGGTTTCCATTTTCCCTTCTATGTGAATACTAGACAAGTGGAAATGGGCACCCTCCACCCCCTGCCCCCTTAAGGTGGGTATGGGTCAAAATTGAACCACCAATTGGTCCGCAGGCTTTAGTCCTTCTTTCCATGTAACAGGGTTCCATTTGTGGCACCTATTTGTGACCCACAGCCAGGTAGGCGGGGGATTCCCTTGTCGAAAGGCCTCACAACCGATCCCAGTGTGAGCTGAGAGGTGGCTGGCCACGGGTGTGGACCGCGCCGTCAAGGAAGTGCTCCATGCCGTGGCCCGACACCCGGCTCCTTCACCGAGTAGAACTTATGGGATGTTGTAGAGGATGGTTCCCTGGTTCTGGATCCAAAGTTTATAACATCCCTTTGGTCACCCAAGTTCAATAATGTCCAAAGCTCCAACAGGGATGTTTGCTTGAGAATATGTGTTTGTTGTTGTGTCCCTGTTGGGTTTGCAGCGATTTGTTTTGGGGATGTGCTTTGGAAAAACTATGAGGCGTCACTCAGCCAGCTCCATGAACAAACATGGGTTCAGGGCTTGTAAATATGGGTCTGTGTGATTGAGAGGGGGACCCCAAGTACGGCTTCGGTGTTTCTATTGGGGTCCCCTAAAACAAAGGGGTGTCCTCAAAAAAAGACAGACCCATTGGCAAAGCGACAGTAAGGTAAGCTTACGATTCCGTTTCCAATTTCAACTTGGTGAGCGGCCTCCACGTTGCAACATGGACATTTCTTCGGTTGCCATGTTTGCTTCAGGGACCCTCTGGGACCTCCAAAAGGGATGCCCACCAGAGTCCGCAACGTCACAGCTTGTTTAGTCCTTTTGGCTCAGTTGTTCAAAGCGAATCGACCTTTTGACCTTTTGGCTTTCCCATTTTGGTCCATATTTAGTCACGGCCGCAAAAGGTTATTTTTTTGTTGCAAGTCCTTTGGGCAACTGAATTGGGCAAAACCCCTGCGGTTCAAGGCCGCCTCGCCTCAAAACAGCCGCCTGCCTTGAGAAAAGGCCAAGGCCCAGGCTTGCGAGTGAGCCATCAACTGGACCCGAGACCGAAACAAGCAACGCATGATGCAGAGAAGTGTTAGCTTTGGTGCATTTTGCCAAGGGATGTTAGGACTTGCACTGTTTGTTAATCAATGGGTTTTCCGTATTAAACCACTAAAAGTTGAACTTTTAGCAGGGGAGCAGAAGGCAACCAAGTTAGGAGGTTGTCACACACACGCAATGGTCTGTCCATGTGGATGGATCTTCAAGGTGTTGGTTGTCCTGTAGCTGTGCGCGTGTTGGCGCGCATCGAAGCTTTATCTGGAGAATAGTCATTTGACAAGTCACTTTTCCGAAGTTGCTTCTACTTGTGCGGCTTGCTTGTGGGTATCCTTTTCAATCTGGTGGATGTGAGATTTCCCGGCTGATTCAGGGGTGTTCAAGCACCAGGTGAGGCGCAGTTCGGGCAGACCCGCCCTTTCAAAACGAGTTTGGTTAAACAATATCACACACCCCTGAAGGGGCACTCCTCCCCCCCCACCCCAACACACCGCCAAAAAACATCCTTATTTGGTTTGGTGTGGAAAGGAGGGTTGTGTGTGTGTGTGATTTGGGGTCCTAGGAACATTTCTATGACTCAATTCTTCAGTGGCACCCTTTCTCTCTTGTTCTTTGGTGGTTTGCTCACGAAGAATGACACCAAAGGGATCCATCATAGGTCGTAGGGTTCATGCCAAGTCAATCGGCTTTGCTGCAGCATACATGACAAACAATCAGTACATATCAGTCTTAACCTCCGAAGCGGAGATTTCCCGCTAGAAACAAGGGCTTACTTTACTCACTGAGCATCTCAACGGTGGCATCCTGTTCCTTTGGGAAACCTCGCTTCGGGAAGCCTCCAATTGTTCGTCTCAGTCTCGGTACGCTGAGATGGAGCAATCCGTGACCATCGCCTGCTACTCCTCGGCTCACTTGGCGCGGAGCTGAAGGGATGAAGACTGATAAGGCTGAGACTTCCCAAAACCTTTGAACTTTTCTCACTTCAAGAGACAAGGCCCGTCATGGGTCGGCAGGTTGGGAATTGGGACCAACAACTGCCGGAGTTGTTTGCTTGAGTTCCGTTTCGACTCTGCTTACTTTTTGTGAAGGCTGTTTTAGTCGTAAATAAAAAGTGTGGTTATGCTTTTGTGCCAATCCACTCAGGAAGTGACTTTCTGGTCGCCCAGTTTGGATCGTTTTTTGTTGATTCCACAAGATGGACCTGTTTCTATCAAAGGGTTGGTTTACCTTTCCTTCAGACCCCAGAGTCTTGGATCCCTTCCCTGAACCAATCGGACTGGGCAAAGGGACCCTACTCACAGAGACCCAAGCTGCAAGCTTAACACTTAGGCAAGGAACTGAGGTGTGTCAGAGGGACCTTTGCGGAGACCCGTTCGGGAACGATGAGGGAATTGGCAGCTCGGTTTTGGCGGAAAGGCCAAAGCGAAGCCTCGGAATGGAATGTGCCTCTGGCGTCATTCCAGCAGTTCCTTTTTGTCAGTTTCTGTCTGAGTCGTTGCTTGGGCAGAGAGCTGGGGACTCGGAGGTGGTTGCCTTCCAGGTGCGAAATTGTTCCGGTCCCATGGTCCTTAAGGCGAAATGTCGCCATCTGGTTTGCTGAATTTGCATTGGGCTTTTGGCAGATTTGAGCGATGAGCTTGAACTGGTTTATTCTGGGAAAGGGCTGCATGTGAAGATCTCATTGAATATTGGCAGGCTGCATTGGCATTGTATCCCCTTTAATCACCGCAAATGGCCGGGGGTGGGAGGTCCAAAGATGTACGATACAATTGTTCAGTCCCCCCTGTCACAAATAAAAGGTGAGCCGCCCCCCCCCCCCCAGCAAGGGAATGTTACTTGGACCACGGCAGGTAATAGCCCAACTTTCAGATTGACTGCAACAGCATGGTGTTAAATACAAGGGTTTCTGCAGGCCCAAAACCAACAAAAGTTGGTGTTTGCGTCTGGGGCTACTTCCACCTGAATCCGGCTGGTGTTTCGTGAGGTCAACAAATAGAACTTGCGTTTGTTAGCCACCCCCCCTCCCCGGCAAAAAGACAGAAAAGTGTGTAAGCCTAAACGTTTTGGGCATCACATCTCCCAGGTTCTCTGCAACAGGTGTATTTGATTCAGGCCCAGGGTGGCTGCTAGGGTTGGACAAACTGTTGTTTAAACAAAGAGGCCGGTTGAAACAATAGGTGTTTAAACATCCCACGGCTTCCAGTTACTACTTTAGTAGCTAACCAGATTTTGCCTCTAAGCGTTTCTCCTCTGGTTACTTGCTATGGGAACTGGAAGCAATGTGAATGTAACAGTGGGCGCAATCCTACATCTTATCCTCACTGAGGCCCTGAAGGACTTCGTCTTTGAGGTCGAGGAGGATCTTCTGAGGAAGGCCAGCTCGCGGTTTTCGTAGCAGAAGGGCCCCGGTTTGGGACCGGTTTTTAAGGTCAACATGAGACTAGCCATTGGAAGAGGGGGTTTTGGTTTTGACACATACCCGAACAATTCAAGCCGCCCCAGGACCCAAATGTGGCAGGCTGCTGTTTTTTGACAAAGGAGGGGACAGCTCTGTCGGTGGCCGGCTGGATGGATGCCACGTTGGCTTCCTTTCGGGGGGTAAATTGGTTTACCTTTCCACTGACCAGTTTTTTGTTTGTTGGTTTCACTCGAAACGTGAACCACTTTTGACTATCGGTTCACGAAGACGGCCACTGGAGTCGCCTCAACACAAGGCACCACTGTAGAGGCCGACCCCAAGCGTTTTGCCCATCATGTATACAGCAACATACGGGGTTTCCATTTGTGTGGCTAAATGATCACTAACCAACAAAGAATGGAACTTCGGTTGTATGTCCTTTTGGTTCCCCTGCCATGCAGCCTTGTCATCGCAGCTTCTATATACTGATTGTTGGACACCCATTCTGGCCCCGGCTCTCGGTAGCCTAGGCCCGTAGGGTGCAGGGCGGAACGGGGAAATGGTGGACGCACTACTGGCGCCTCGCGCTGTCGTGTCTGTGCGCCTTGCGTGCCTGGACCGGGGGAGTTCACTGGGGGGCCCAGTGAGGGACAGTTCGCTCCATCCATCCATCCATCCATCCATCCATGCATCCATTCGTGCACGTATTGATTCAAGCATTCCTTCATACATTTATCCATTTATCCATTTATCCATTCATCCATCCATGCATCCATCCATGCATCAACGGGATTTTGGTCTTTACTTCCTTTTGGTTTCCCTCTGAATCAACACGTCAAGGCTCTGCAACATCGGATCGGAAGTTCGGGGAGCCGTCGCCGACGTAGGCTGCCGGGTACATGTGCGTCTCTGTCGCCAACTCGCTGGCTCTCGTCATGTGTCGGGGCCTTTGGTGCGCCAATTCGAATGAATCGCCCGGTGGCCTCTCACCCGGCCTCTCTTCAGGGTTCCAAGACATCCAAAAACCACCTGCTACAAGGGGATTCACTACTAGTCAGCTTGCAGACATGATTTTCAATCTGGCCCAGCTGTATCCTTCAACTTCAAGAGACCTTGTTTATTGGCAGACGAAAGGCTTACCATGCTGTTTTATTGTTTTGTTGTTCTGTTTGTCCTTTTTGTTCCGCTTCAACCAGCAAACTGGTAAGCTTTTGCAGCGGGCCTCTTGACATCTAACATGAGGCGGCATGCTGTTTGTGGCTTTGAAAAGGGAAATCAAAAGGAACCCACCATTTTTTCAAAGGTCCCCTACAAAGAACACACCCACACGCCACTCCCCAGCAAAGGTTCGAAAGGAATCCTGAAAGGGCCAGGGGGCCGTAATGCTTAGACCTAAAGCTGCTGCCAACTTGTTGCTCGTACTGCTTTTACTGAACATTATTCTAGGCAAAACTGAAGCGACGAAAGTGCTCAGGGGCCTGTTACTGAATC